GACCCTTCGCTATTGTGGCATCTCCAACAGCTTGCGTCAGAGCCCGGGTAGATGCGGGCCAATTTGGTGGGGACTAGATACCAACGCATTGTTAATTTACAGTATGTTTCCCATTGATTAAGGCTATGGGACGCCTGTTTGGTTAATCTTTGGGCGCGATGCCATAATTCATTAGAAAAATGTTTTCCTAGGTCTGATTCCCATTTAGACATATACGATGGTTTGGACAGTTTGTCGTGTAGCAATAGGGTGTTGTAACATAGAGATAGTGCTTTAGTTTTTGGAAGTTTGCCCATGCATTTGTGGATGAAGGGCGGTTTAGGGTCGGGTTCCCTCAAGCTAATCCCGCTTTCCTGAATTATATTTTTTAATCTGAGATAGGAGAATAGTTCCCGTGAAGGGATATGGAATTCCCTGATCAGGTCTGGGAAGGGCTTGATGCCTTCAGCGGACAGTAGGGAACGAACTTGGGTGATCCCCTGCTTAAGCCAGTTGTCTAATTGTATGTTTGAGGTTTTTGTAGTCAGGGCTTGGAGTGGGGCAGCTAGGAGTAGGTCATTGTTTCGTAAGAAGAGCGGTGTAGTTTGCTTCCAGTTATGAAAGAGCGCGACTGTGGTGGGCAGCAAGGATGTAGCTTTGGGAAGTTTTGACCCTGCCCACAGGGATAGTGGGATTGAGCCATTGGGTGTGCAGGCGTTCTCCAATGCCAGCCATATTGGGGGAGAGGGACGCTCAAGGATCGCAAGGCCCTGGGCCAACAGGGACGCCTTATAGTAAAGGGATACATTGGGAACACCCAGTCCTCCTTTTGTGAATGGGCGCCATAGTGAGTTTTGCGCTATCCTGGGGGGTTTTCTCTTCCATATGTGAGCATTGATCATGGCCTGAAATTTCTTTAGGAGCGAGTTAGGGATTGTAATGGGAAGAGTGCGGAATAGGTATAAAATGTGTGGGAGGATCATCATTTTTACAGTGTGGATACGTCCTAACCAGGAGATCTCCTTCTCCTCCCAGGACTTAAGGAGTTGCTCTAATTTGTGAATGAGTGGCAGGTGGTTTTCATGCGTTATTGCTGAGAGCCTCGTTGGCAATTTGATACCCAAATATGAGATAGAGGAGTTCCGCCACTCAAACGGGTATAGCGTTTTTAGAGGGTTTAGAGAGGTATGTGGCAGTCCCAGTGCCATCGCTTGTGTTTTTTTGGCGTTGTTTTTATAGAACGAGACCTTACCGTAAATTTCCAGCAAAGTTAGTAAATTTGGTAAGGATTTTACTGGGCGTGATAGGAAAAGAAGGACATCATCAGCGAATAGGGCTATTTTTTGAGTCCCAATGGGGGTAGATAGGCCTTCGATCGAGTTGTCACTTTTGATATATCTAACCAGTGGTTCCATGCATATTATAAAAATTAACGGGGAGAGGGGACAACCCTGTTTAGAGCCATTCGTTATTTGGAAAGGTTGAGATAGGAACCCTGAATTGAATACTTTGGCTGCTGGATTGGAGTATAGGGCCATAATACCTTTCAGGAAGTCTTGTGGTATGCCCACTGCAGTTAGGACAGCCCTCATGTAAGACCAATTAAGGCGGTCGAATGCTTTTTCCGCATCTAGAGCTAGTAAAATGCCGCTTTGGTTGGTTTTTTGGGCCCATGAGATGAGGTTCAGAAAGTGCCGAGTGTTATCCCCCGGTTGTCTATGCGGGACAAATCCTGCCTGTTCTGGGGAGACCAGGTCCCTCAGGAGGGGTTGGAGGCGATTGGCTAGTAATTTGGCAAAAAGTTTAATGTCTGCGTTCAACAATGAGATTGGTCTCAGGTTGGCGCATTCTGTGGGCGGTTTGCCGGGCTTAGGAAGTGTAACGATATGGGCTAGCAACATTTCCTTCGGTATTGTCCCTGAGTCCCTGAAGGAGTTGAAGAGGATTGTGAGGTATGGAGTGAGCTGTGGCTCAAATGTGGAGTAAAAGTGGTTGGAGAACCCGTCTGGGCCCGGCGCTTTATGTTTGGGTAATTTGCGAATTGCATTTCGTATTTCTTCCTCTGTGAATTTGGCTGACAGGGTTGCGCATTGCTGTGCCGATAGATGCGGCAGCTCTGCTCCTGTCAAAAAGGTGGCTATTTCTGGGTCTAATGGCTGGTGTAAAGTACTGTCCTGTGCGAGGTTGTATAGTCCCTTGTAAAAGTTAGCTAGTTCGTCTACTATATCTTGTGGGTTGAATAGCTTTGACCCAGTGGACGAGGTCATATATGGGAGTTTAGATTGTATGTATCGGGATTTTAGTCGTTTTGCGAGTAGTTTGCCTGCCTTGTTCCCTTGCATGTAATAGGCGAGCTTTAATTTGCGGAGCTGTCGTTCCACACTTATCAGGGATAGATCAAGTATTTTGTCCCTTAACTTTTCGATAGTGCGGGATAGATTTTTAGTTGGTTTGAGTTTATTAATTTGTTCTAAGGATTTAAGTTGAGAAAGTAGATTATCTGACTCAGTGTGGGTTTTCTTTTTGTTTATTGCGCCTGCCTGAATTAATAGGCCTCTTAGCACGGCTTTTAGGGCCAGCCATTTAGTGTCTATGCGTGTGCTGTCGGCAAGGTGAGTCTCGAAAAAAGATATTATGTTATCCCGAATTTTTGCAGCCGTAGTCTCGTTATCTAGGAGGGATTCGTTTAGGCGCCAGGCACTGCGCCCCCATGACGGGAACAAGGCCCTAAAAGTAGTGGTTACCGGTCACCTATTTGCACTTCTATTATATTGGGTACCGTATTTTTATCTACCCAACACATATCTATACGAGAGTATGTGTGATGGACTTGTGAGAAATATGTGTAGTTTCGTTCTTTCGGATAAAGGGTACGCCACGAATCGTAAAGGTCGTGCCTGTGGAGCAGCGTGCTAAGGGTTGCGCTCATTGTGTTAGCAAGTTGGAGGGGTTGTTTGTTTGCTATTCGCTTAATGTCTAAATCGGGGTCTAGCGTGCAATTGAGATCGCCACAGATAATAGTATGCCCCACACGGATAGTAGAGATTTTATTTAATGCTCTTCTAATGAAGGAAATTTGGGAGTTGTTGGGTGCATATATGGAAGCGATCGTAAGTTGCATTCCATTCAAAGAGCCTACCACTATAAGGAGCCTGCCCAGCTCGTCTACATAGGTGTTATCGAGATGGAAGACCCAGTCAATATGGAACAGAATTGCCACTCCTCTCGTTTTGTTTGGGGCAAGGGCATGAAATACCTGCTGATACCTGGATGAGCTCAACTTGGGGGGGTTTCTTTTGCACATGTGCGTTTCCTGGAGGCAAACTATGGCGGCCTGGGAAGTATGAATGGTCTTAATCACAGAGCTCCTTTTAAATGGGCTATTTAGGCCGTTAACGTTCATAGAGAGACATTTAAATTGGTACATCATCTTAAAGGGATATATAATAGAGCTTGTTAGTCACAGCATACTGTCTGCCAACGACACACATGGGGTCTGTGGTTAGGTGGTGCGTAGTGTAGAGTAAGGGAAGATCAGATGACTGATTACGTCCTTCACAGGTTTGGGTCAAAGAAGCTGCCAAGGGGATGGGAAGGGAAATAACAGGAAAGACAAAATCAACAAACAAAGGTATATACATTAACTCTCTGAGATGAGAGAAAATACTGGGATCCAGAGGGGAGCCTAAAGCTCCAAGCACCTCGGATACCCTTGGGGGGTCGTGCGGAACAGGACCGCACCCGGACCAGATTCTCAAAGTAGGCAGGAATGGAGAGGAGAACATGCGTGAGAGGGGCTGAAATCTGGACAGCATTCTCCCCTGTGCTCCCTCTAAATCTCTGTGGCAATATAGGGGAGAAGGGCAACGGATTTATGGTAGCTTAACCGGGAGTATTGTGGCTAACTGGTGGATGGGTTTTTTTTTTTTTGTTTTTTTTTATATTTCCCTCCGTTAAACTGAGCATGGTCGATAGTGTATCTAAGGTCGTAATCATAAATCACAGGGTGCGACCGTTTAACCATGTGTGTGCTTGGCGCTCCGGGGGGAGGGGGGGGCCTTGGGAGACCTAGCCTTGGGGCCAGCTAGAGTGCAGGAGGGATGAAGCGGTACACATGGTAGCCTAAACTCATCCGTAGGGAAGAACCAACATTGTAACAGAGCAATTTACCAGGGGGGGGGTTATACCCTTGCTAAACATTTCTCAGATGAAGCAGTGAAACAAGCATGACCTCCCCTCCTGAATATAAGCAATACTTAGTGGATACTATAAACATGTTTTTTTTTTTTTTTTTTTGTCCCTTCAACTTGTGAACTATTCATGCCCTCCCACCCTACACCCTCATTAAACACTTTGCCACCGTGTATGATCATACGATACCACTCGTAGCAACTGGGTCTATGGCCCTTATTGGTGTATTGTCGCAGAGTCCATGCGTATGGCATAAGCCAGCTGGAAACAGTTCAGGGGTAGGTGGTTAACGTCCGTGTCGGGCGAGGGCATCAACAAGCAGCATGGTGTCTTTTTGCGCGGCTGTAGTATACATCAAAGAGTAGAGGCAGGGAGATGCCGTCCTGGATGGGGTGGCCGTTAGCGTCGAGCGCCAACCATCTGCCAGTCTGGCTGGGACCTCTTCGGGGTGGTCGAGGCGACTGGTTGTAGGTGGGTGGTTTCTTGCTGGCCCCAAAGTCCCCAGTGTTTCAGCGTGGTTAGCCCTTTCGAGGGGTCATCTATAATGTGGAGCTTATTCTGCCGCCAGACCAGCAGTCTCGTAGGAAATCCCCAGCGATAAGCCTGGTTGTGGTTGCGTAGGGTTTTGGTAATAGAGGAGAATTCCCTGCGTCTTGCCATAGTGAGGGCCGATAGGTCCGCAAAGATAGAGACAGCATTATATGGGTCGGGCAATGGGGATTGGGCTCTAGCGGCCTTGAGAAGAGCCTCCTTGGCTTTAAAGTGATGGTAGCGCACGATAATGTCGCGCGGGACGTCCGCGCCAAATCTGGGCGGTTTTGGAACCCGGTGGGCTCTATCCAGTTCCCAGGTAACACCGGAGAGGTCAGGGACCAGCGTGGTACTTAATGAGGTAATGTAGGCCGAGATCTGGTCTGTTGTGATGGACTCTGCTACTCCCCGGAACCGCACGTTGTTCCTGCGGGAGCGGTCCTCCATGTCCGCCATTTTGTGCCATAATTTGGTATTATCTTCCTCTAGTTTCTGTAGTCTGTCCGCCATCAGGTTGTGGGCAGAGGAGAGATCGTCAGTTTTACGTTCGACCTGATCGGTCCGGTCACCCAGCTCCTCTAGCTCTTGATGGATGCCCGCCAAGGAGGTGGTGAAGTCCTCTTTGATAGTGGACCTGAGGTCCGCGAGCACTTGTCTCAGATATTCTTTTGAGAATTGTGAGTCGTCTGATAGTGAGTGCGTGGGCGACTCGGTGCAGGGGTCAGGGTCCGGAGACTGAGCTCTGCTGGCGGCGCCATCTTGGGCCTGTTTCAGCCTTTCCCTCTTACGATGGCGGACCGCGTCCGTAAGTTTTGTCTGCTTCGAGGGAGACATTAGAGGCCGTGTAGCCTTTGCCCCCCACTGGGTCAAGGTAATCCGGCAAAATTTCCTCTTTAATAGTATTTAATCCGGTCCGGGTGGTGCGGAGCTCCTACTCCATGCGACCGATCTTGCCGGAAGTTGGACACGCCCCCTCCAATTTGTGCATTTCTAAATGTAAATGTTGTATTCTATATTTTGCACAGAGCCGTAGCTGCTCCTTTTGCACCAGGGCAAGAATAGAAAATTGTGCCTCCCAAAGACAAGAGTACAGCATGACTCCTATCATTATTTATTGATCCAGACACTAAGGGTGGTATAGCATGACTCCTGTCATTATATATTGACCCAAACACTGAGGGTGGCATAGCATGACTCCTATCATTATATATTGATCCAGACACTAAGGGTGGTATAGCATGACTCCTATCATTATATATTGACCCAAACACTGAGGTTGGTATAGCATGACTCCTATCATTATATATTGATCCAGATACTGAGGGTGGTGTAGCATGACTCCTATCATTATATATTGATCCAAACACTGAGGGTGGTATAGCATGACTCCTATCATTATATATTGATCCAAACACTGAGGGTGGTATAGCATGACTCCTATTATTATATATTGATCCAAACACTGAGAGTGGTACAGCATGACTCTTATTATATATTGATCCAAACACTGAGGGTGGTATAGCATGACTCCTATCATTATATATTGATCCAGACACGGAGGGTGGTATAGCATGACTCCTATTATTATATATTGACCCAAACACTGAGGGTGGTATAGCATGACTCCTATCATTATATATTGACCTAAACACTGAGGGTGGCATAGCATGACTCCTATCATTATATATTGACCTAAACACTGAGGGTGGCATAGCATGACTCCTATCATTATATATTGACCTAAACACTGAGGGTGGTACAGCATGACTCCTATCATTATATATTGACCTAAACACTGAGGGTGGTATAGCATGACTACTATCATTATATATTGATCCAGACACTGAGGGTGGTATAGCATGACTCCTATCATTATATATTGACCCAGACACTGAGGGTGGCATAGCATGACTCCTATCATTATATATTGACCCAGACACTGAGGGTGGCATAGCATGACTCCTATCATTATATATTGATCCAGACACTGAGAGTGGTATAGCATGACTCCTATCATTATATATTGATCCAGACACTAAGGGTGGTATAGCATGACTCCTATCATTATATATTGATCCAAACACTGAGGGTGGTATAGCATGACTCCTATCATTATATATTGATCCAGACACTGAGGGTGGTATAGCATGACTCCTATTATTATATATTGACCCAAACACTGAGGGTGGCATAGCATGACTCCTATCATTATATATTGACCTAAACACTGAGGGTGGCATAGCATGACTCCTATCATTATATATTGATCCAGACACTGAGGTTGGTATAGCATGACTCCTATCATTATATATTGACCCAAACACTGAGGATGGTATAGCATGACTCCTATCATTATATATTGATCCAGACACTGAGGGTGGTATAGCATGACTCCTATCATTATATATTGATCCAGACACTGAGGGTGGTATAGCATGACTCCTATCATTATATATTGATCCAGACACTAAGGGTGGTATAGCATGACTCCTATCATTATATATTGACCCAGACACTGAGGGTGGTATAGCATGACTCCTATCAATATATATTGATCCAGACACTGAGGGTGGTATAGCATGACTCCTATCATTATATATTGATCCAAACACTGAGGGTGGGATAGCATGACTCCTATCATTATATATTGACCCAGACACTGAGGGTGGTATAGCATGACTACTATCATTATATATTGACCCAGACACTGAGGGTGGCATAGCATGACTCCTATCATTATATATTGACCCAGACACTGAGGGTGGTATAGCATGACTCTTATCATTATATATTGACCCAAACACTGAGGGTGGTATAGTATGACTACTATCATTATATATTGACCCAGACACTGAGGGTGGCATAGCATGACTCCTATCATTATATATTGACCCAGACACTGAGGGTGGCATAGCATGACTCCTATCATTATATATTGATCCAGACACTGAGGGTGGCATAGCATGACTCCTATCATTATATATTGATCCAGACACTGAGGGTGGCATAGCATGACTCCTATCATTATATATTAATCCAGACACTGAGGGTGGTATAGCATGACTCCTATCATTATATATTGACCCAGACACTGAGGGTGGTATAGCATGACTCCTATCATTATATATTGACCAGACACTGAGGGTGGTATAGCATGACTCCTATCATTATATATTGATCCAAACACTGAGGGTGGTATAGCATGACTCCTATCATTATATATTGATCCAGACACGGAGGGTGGTATAGCATGACTCCTATTATTATATATTGACCCAAACACTGAGGGTGGTATAGCATGACTCCTATCATTATATATTGATCCAGACACTGAGGGTGGCATAGCATGACTCCTATCATTATATATTGACCTAAACACTGAGGGTGGCATAGCATGACTCCTATCATTATATATTGACCTAAACACTGAGGGTGGTACAGCATGACTCCTATCATTATATATTGACCTAAACACTGAGGGTGGTATAGCATGACTCCTATCATTATATATTGATCCAGACACTGAGGGTGGTATAGCATGACTCCTATCATTATATATTGATCCAGACACTGAGGGTGGTATAGTATGACTCCTATCATTATATATTGATCCAGACACTGAGGGTGGCATGACTTCTATCATTATATATTGATCCAGACACTGAGGGTGGTATAGCATGACTCCTATCATTATATATTGATCCAGACACTGAGGGTGGTATAGCATGACTCCTATCATTATATATTGATCCAGACACTAAGGGTGGTATAGCATGACTCCTATCATTATATATTGATCCAAACACTGAGGGTGGTATAGTATGACTCCTATCATTATATATTGATCCAGACACTAAGGGTGGTATAGCATGACTCCTATCATTATATATTGACCCAGACACTGAGGGTGGTATAGCATGACTCTTATCATTATATATTGACCCAAACACTGAGGGTGGTATAGTATGACTACTATCATTATATATTGACCCAAACACTGAGGTTGGTATAGCATGACTCCTATCATTATATATTGACCCAGACACTGAGGGTGGCATAGCATGACTCCTATCATTATATATTGATCCAGACACTGAGAGTGGTATAGCATGACTCCTATCATTATATATTGATCCAGACACTGAGAGTGGTATAGCATGACTCCTATCATTATATATTGATCCAGACACTAAGGGTGGTATAGCATGACTCCTATCATTATATATTGATCCAAACACTGAGGGTGGTATAGTATGACTCCTATCATTATATATTGATCCAGACACTAAGGGTGGTATAGCATGACTCCTATCATTATATATTGACCCAGACACTGAGGGTGGTATAGCATGACTCTTATCATTATATATTGACCCAAACACTGAGGGTGGTATAGTATGACTACTATCATTATATATTGACCCAGACACTGAGGGTGGCATAGCATGACTCCTATCATTATATATTGACCCAGACACTGAGGGTGGCATAGCATGACTCCTATCATTATATATTGATCCAGACACTGAGGGTGGCATAGCATGACTCCTATCATTATATATTGATCCAGACACTGAGGGTGGCATAGCATGACTCCTATCATTATATATTAATCCAGACCCTGAGGGTGGTATAGCATGACTCCTATCATTATATATTGACCCAGACACTGAGGGTGGTATAGCATGACTTCTATCATTATATATTGACCCAAACACTGAGGGTGGTATAGCATGACTCCTATCATTATATATTGATCCAAACACTGAGGGTGGTATAGCATGACTCCTATCATTATATATTGATCCAGACACGGAGGGTGGTATAGCATGACTCCTATTATTATATATTGACCCAAACACTGAGGGTGGTATAGCATGACTCCTATCATTATATATTGATCCAGACACTGAGGGTGGCATAGCATGACTCCTATCATTATATATTGACCTAAACACTGAGGGTGACATAGCATGACTCCTATCATTATATATTGACCTAAACACTGAGGGTGGTACAGCATGACTCCTATCATTATATATTGACCTAAACACTGAGGGTGGTATAGCATGACTACTATCATTATATATTGATCCAGACACTGAGGGTGGTATAGCATGACTCCTATCATTATATATTGACCCAAACACTGAGGGTGGTATAGCATGACTCCTATCATTATATATTGATCCAGACACTGAGAGTGGTATAGCATGACTCCTATCATTATATATTGATCCAGACACTGAGAGTGGTATAGCATGACTCCTATCATTATATATTGATCCAGACACTAAGGGTGGTATAGCATGACTCCTATCATTATATATTGATCCAAACACTGAGGGTGGTATAGCATGACTCCTATCATTATATATTGATCCAGACACTGAGGGTGGTATAGCATGACTCCTATTATTATATATTGACCCAAACACTGAGGGTGGCATAGCATGACTCCTATCATTATATATTGACCCAAACACTGAGGGTGGCATAGCATGACTCCTATCATTATATATTGATCCAGACACTGAGGTTGGTATAGCATGACTCCTATCATTATATATTGACCCAAACACTGAGGATGGTATAGCATGACTCCTATCATTATATATTGACCCAGACACTG